GCAGGAGGTGTGCTGGAAAAATCCTCAGCTTTCATATACCCATAGCAAGCCTTGTAAGGGACCATGCAATATGCTTGCAATATGGCACTGGGTCTGCTGTTAATTAAATACTAGTGTCAGTGAAGTGTTTTACAGAGTGTCTGGGTCTAGCTTTTATTCTCATTAGATTAGACCTGTTTGCACAATACATACTACAGGTGAATGAATGGGGGTACACGTTGGCACTCAAAAATCAAAAATAAAGTACCTGTTTCTTGCCTGGAATAGTATAATGCTGTTCTTCAGCTCCCCCTTAATAACGTAAAGCCAAGGCAATGATCACATTGTATCTGGCTATTGACAGTTTAATAATTTTATATTATTAGATACTTCATCAGGTGTTATATATAGTTGCAGAGGTCTGTTTCCTGTTTCCTTTTCAATCTCCGCTGCTCTCCCCGCCAGTGTGGGCAGAGGCAGTGGGGACACAGACCACTGCAGCCAGAACCAGGGGGGGGAGAGACCGCTGTGGCTCTGCAATCCCCCACTGCCCCCCTACCTCAGCAGCCACCCGTGTCTCCTCTTCCCCGACGCCGTTCTGCCCCCCATGTCGCATTAGCCCCACCCCCATGCTTCCGTTGCAAACTAGAGGCTGGAAACCATACCCAGCCTGCTATTGGATATTTTCAAATGCAATAGCAGGCTGGCTATCACACCCGCACACTGCCTGCTGTCAATCAGCAGATGAGGACCTGGTGGAGAACTTTCTCCTTCGAGTCCCTCCTCTGCTGATTGACAGCAGGCGGGTACAATAGCCAGCCTGCTATTGGCTGTTGCAATTTGAAATATCCAATAGCAGGCTGGCTTTTGCTCCCAGCAATAAAGTAAAAAAAAAAAAAAGTTTAAAAAGATAAAGTTAAATAAACTAAAATGAAAAAAAGACTAAAAAATGTAAAAAATAAAAACAAATAAATAAAAATTAAAATACTAACAAAAATAAATAAAGCTAAAGGGTTTCTAAACCCTCAGCTTTTTTTGCACAGATCTACTGCTAGCAAGCAACTTTAACAGCGGTTTAAACTTACCTGTATCTTCCCTGCGCGCTCCCGTCTGAAAATGTGAAACCGCTCGGGCGGCCACAAAGCATCTGGGGGTGGGCGCATGCGCAGTTCACATTTTCGGCCGGGACGCGAGGAGAGACACAGGGTAAGTCTATGGACGTGTGCGCCCGCATGCAGACACGGTGGGGAAGGAAGCGCCAGCAATTACAGAGGAGTCAGCGCTGGATCGGAGACTCGCCACAGAGCTGGAGAGTAGGCTGAAAACGACAGGAAAGAAGAAGATGATGGGATTAAGAGATTAAGTGCTTTCATTAACGTTGTGTTGAGGCAAAAACATTTTTGCTTTTAATGTCACTTTAAATAAACTAAAATAGGAAAAAAAAATGTGGGTGTGTTTTAAATATATTGGCTTGCAGTTTTACAATTCACATTATATGGGGACTTTACCCTAGAGAAACATCTCCCAAATGGGAAGACAGTCAGCAATAAAAAAGTGAAAAGTTCTAACCTTTTTACACTCTTATCTAAAACAAAATACAAATGGCTGAAATTAAGTTGTCATTTTTTTTATTATTTTAATTTAGACATTTATGGTGGGAAAAGTAATTTTCAGTTTTGGCCTGGCAAATGTTGCTGCAGGAAGTGCGTTGCGGTGCAATTCATTCAATGGATCCCAAATGCACCTCCCGTCCGCAGTGTTTGATCGCCCGCACTGTAATGCACGGTACTGCAATGCCCTGCGTTCCAGTGCAGTGCGATTGCAAACAATGTGCATACCGTTTTATTCTGAAGTAAACTTTGTCTGTAAAGCTGCATTTGTGTATTTTATTTTAAATAAATGGCGGTATTATTTTTTCTATCCTATCCGGTTAATCAAAGTTAATAATCGTCTAACCGATTATGTAAATAATCGTTAGCTGCAGCCCTAATGTATATGTATGCGTGTATATCTATCTATCTATCTATCTATCTATCTATCTATCTATCTATCTATCTATCTATCTATCTATCTATCTATCTTTGCAGCTATAAAAGCTTCAACTCTTCTGGGAAGATTGTCCACAAGGTTTAGGAGTGTGTTTATGGGAATGTTTGACCATTCTTCCAGAAGCGCATTTGTGAGGTCAGGTACTGATGTTGGACGAGAAGGCCTGGCTCGCAGTCTACGCTTTAATTCATCCCAAAGCTGTCTAAAGGGGTTGAGGTCAGGACTCTGTGCAGGCCGAAAAACAACCCCACACCATAATCCCCCCTTCACCAAACTTTACACGTGACATAATGCAGTCAGGTAAGTACCGTTCTCCTGGCAACCGCCAAACCCAGACACATCCATCGGATTGCCAGACAGAGAGGAGTGATTCGTCACTCCAGAGAACACGTCTCCACTTCTCCAGAGTCCAGTGGCGGCGTGCTTTACACCACGGCATCCGATGCTTTGCATTGCACTTGGTGATGTAAGGTTCGGATGCCGCTGCTCGGCCATGGAAACCCATTCCATGAAGCTCTCTACGCACTGTGGTTGTGCCAATCTGAAGGTCACACGAAGTTTGGAGTTCTGTAGCTATTGACTCTGCAGACAGTTGGCGACTTCTGTGCGCCTCAGCATGCACTGACCCCGCTCTGTCATTTTACATGGCCTACCACTTCGTGGCTGAGTTGCTGTTGTTCCCAGTTGCTTCCACTTTGTTATAATACAACTAAAAGTTGACCATGGAATATTTAGTAGCAAGGAAATTTCACGGATGGACTTATTGCACAGGTGGCAACCCAGTCGGCATGCCTAGGTGCTTGATTTTATACACCTGTGGCCATGGAGGTGATTGGAACACCTGAATCCAATGATTTGGCTTAGTATGTATGTAAAACAAGTCATACATTAAAACAGGGATGCACAAATCCCTGGAGCCCCGTAGCCAATACTCCTTAAAAATGACAGCTGCCTCCTAATTTTTTTGAGTTTTTCTCTAGTCTAGTCGTGGAGCAGAAAAAGTATCAGACCTTGGCTGTGGATCCCTAGTTTTAACACATATTAGGTATTTACATTAGGTGGTTCACAGGCACATTAATAAATATAAAACATATTATTAAAAAATACATTAGTTCCACATTTAAGTAGGATTATCTGCTTAGTATGGTATGTAAGTAGTAGAATTTAGCATTTATTTTTCATGCTTTACATTTAATAATCTCATTACTGATGTCATTTATACTCTGATTTTGTTTTCGGGCATATTTTTATTCTTAATGGGTTTGCAATACTATATTAAAAGCTTCAGTGTGGTGGGGTTTATAAAGGTCACAGAAATATTACTAGAAAATAAATGTGAATTCATGAAAGAGCTAATACAATAACATTGACCAAGAAGATTGTTGTTGAGAACCTACAGACAGATTTGAAATAAATGTGCAGTTCTCTTTTGAATTCTTTGTTTTTAGAAATTTTTTGCACAATAAATATGGTCACTATTCTGTAAATGTCTAATACATTTGGGTGTCACATGAGAATGTGTAGTATTAAAGTTTAAGCCGTGTGGAAATTACAGAATTTAAACTTCATCATCACCATTTTATGGGGGTAACTGTTTAGACTGACCTTGTCCACCTATGGATTCCAGTCCTTTTATTCCCAGCGGATGTTTATAATCCTGTCAGTGTGGTCTGAGTCTGCCTTTGCCTTCATCCCAGTTTGGTACTTTTTACATCTGCCCAAAGAGCATACATAAACCAACTCAACTAACCTCTCCTTGTTTTGAAGTTAAAGCTGATATACGCTGCAATAGATGCATCTTTCCCATGTTTTATCCCTTCCAAGACCTTGCAGGTACAGAAAAAATCCCATTGACCTGCCAGAAATGCACTTAAGCTCTGTTGTGGTCTTAACACGTAGCATTTTTGTGGACTGAAGGGTGTCATGCCTTGCAGGTGTCCTTTGCTAATCTACTCAACTATTTCTATCCTCAGATATCTGCAAAATAAAGGCTAGTCATTTTGTAGTCTAAGATAGCAACTGGAAGGACTAAGTAGAATATATGAGATAACACAGGAAATGTGAAGAAGACACAGGGTAGCTCTAAATTCCTTAAAAGGTCAATAGGATTTTGTTTGCACTTATTCAGCAGTTATAATACAATTCTTTTAATAGTATACTTTACAGCCCAAAAGGTAACAAATAAGAGGAAAATGTTTTTAAGGTTTACTTTTGAATGGGAAATTGGCAGTCTCTCTTTAAAGTAAAGTGACTGTGCCTTCTCAAAGCTCACCCACCAGCAAGTTGTACTCCTTCCTTTGCCACTTCCCTGATACAGGAGTCAACACAAATATAGCAACGCCAGGTCAAAGACAGGCTATTGGTGATGTTTACTGGAAGAATATTTTTTATGTTTTCAAATCCTGGTACCAACTTGTTAGTAAATTATACCTGCTTTAAATAACCAGTGGTTGTCTGAATGCCTACATCTGTTTTTCAGGTGTCATACTAAAAAGGTTTAGATCACTTGAAACATATAATTTGATCCCACTGGCATCTTCAGCTCCTTCCACCTCTCCCACCATGGAGTCTCCGTCTTGCTGCAGCTATTAAAGTGCCTTCTGCATTCTTTGTTGTGTAAAATAGATAAGTAGTTCAAAATGTTCAGAGGCCCTCTTGTACTGGTTTTGGCTGTTGATTGAGTTTGGGAAGTCAGGTGGGGAAATTATATCTTTGCACGTGTCCGATATAAGAAGTCATTGGTATTAACACAAAACTGAAATATTGATTTTGCTTAGACTAACTTTTTAAACATGAGTTTTGTTTAGGATGTATTTTTCTGGAAGGTAAATGATTACAAGAGTTCATAATGGGTCTAACAATAATGAGCAGCAGATGTATGTATTTGTATATATTGTTGCAATCAAAGATGTCTCCGTAGTATTGAAGGTCCATACATTGACCGTGCTATTTTTCTTTTTCTTTTTTGTAAGCCATCGCCATCACGTTTTGCATGATCAGGATGTAGACCGCCGGACATGTGTCCCAATGAATCACCTGTGGCCAGACCAAGCTCCATACACTGTGTGTAACAGCTCCCTGTCTGAATATGGAGTCCTGGGTAAGTCATACCATCCTGCTGTACTTCTTGCCATGGCCATCATACAAAGTATTTAATCTTGTAATGAGAAATGTATAGCGCCCAATTTCCTCAAGAATCCTTAGAGACCACCAAGTGTGTACTATGTTTCCAGCTTCTGAAAAACTGTTGTTTTGAGCAGTGTTTTTCATTACATACATTTTCAGCAGTAAGAAATGCACAGTTGAATTTTCAATACATATTTGGCACACCCTGAAAACAAACACCAAGTACATAGTTACCCTTCATTGCAACCTAGCCCCTAATTATGAACCTCGGTCCCTCAACCCAGACCTAAGCCAAAACCACAGGGTTAACCACAATCCTATCTATGACAAAATCCTATCTATGACAAAATCCTTACAAAGTGAATACTATGGCCAATGGTGCTATTGTGCTTAAAAATTCTAGTATTAAAAAAACGTTCAATCCATATGTCAATTTAAAAAATGTTAATGACAGTGTGCAATGCACTAAACTTTCCTCACCTAATAACTTCTACCATGCACAATTAAAACCTATCCCAGGAAAATAAAATATTCCCTTGCAGTGGGGCTGCTCCTGCAATTCTCATTTTAGAGCTAGGCTACCTAGCCCTAGACATGTTCCCCACTCGCGCAGGCTTCTTCTAGGCTACAAGGCCAGCACCCACAACTAGGCCACTTCACACTCTCTCCCCCTCTCATGACAGGACAGAGTGAGTTAATTCTGATGAACTATGTAGCTGCCTTCAGGTGATTAGACACTAGCATATCAAAGCTGTTAGCTCTGTATAACACCTACTCCGAGCCTACCTCAATTTTTTTTTCTAGTGTCCTCAGGCAGTGGATGCCTTCCCTGAGACCTTTCTAGCAAGTTTCCTTAAGCTGCTCACAGCCACTGCAGCACCTAACAGCAGCTATGTGGATTGTTTTTCTTTTTTCGGCAGAGCCAGGGCTGACTGTACCCCAATAGAAGTTAAAGGGAGGGGTGACCTGTCATGTGCTTGGGGCACTCAATTTGGCACTTTGTGTAGAACGTATGTTGCTGCAGGGTTCTAAACAGGTCCAGGGCCATAGTCCATTTTGGTGCAGCCCCTTCAGATGGTATTGCCACTGGTAGTGCTCCCATTTGGTCACTGCTGCTGAAGCTCAGGTAAACTAGGGCTAGGCCCTGTTGTAGGTGTCCAGTGTAGCAGCCTCTTATCCTCTTAAGGGTTAACTTATGGCTTGGGCTTGGCTCACGTTGCCTCTGTATGTTTGAATTTAGAATAATTTCCTGTTTCCATTGGCAACCTGTAGCGCAGCGTCTCTCTGCGATATTGTACATTGCATTTTCCTAAGCCAGGGCATGCATAAAGCTGAAAACATGTTGCTGCTGCAACTAGAGGTTCACCGAAATGACATTTTGAAAACGAAACTGAAAAAAATGAATTCTCAAACTGAAAATTATTTTCTTTTTAAATATTTTCTTTATATTATTTTCTAAACTTTTTATTTTTTATTTTTGGGTTTTTTAAAAATATTTTTATTTTTGAACTTTACTGTCGGGGGCTCTGGGAAATCAAGATCCTTGATATTTTCCTTTTCTGGGAAACAGATCCCTGATATTTTCCTTTTAAAATAGAAAAAGAGATTGAGGGCACAGAGTGCTCAATCTCTTATTCTGCAGCCCCTGTTATGAATGAACAGGAATCCTCTATACTGAGTGTCCCTGTTCATTTATAACTTGTGGAGATAGTATCTTTACTATATCCACAATCATGAATGAACAGGAAGTGATGTACAACACTTCCTGTTCATTCATAATTGGGGACACAGTAAACATACTATGTCCTCAAATATTTACAATCAGCAACCAGCTGATCGCTGGCTGCTTGTACCCACTCTCCATCCTGACTTGCTTTCACAGGAGGCTGAGCGGGCAGTGGAAAGCTCGGTCTAGTGTGACAGCTGACTCCTCCCCTGCACCAAGTCAGGCTGGAGAGATACTAAAGATACAATCTCCCCCATACCGCTCTCCATCCTGATCTGTCACAGGAGGCAGTGCGGGGTGGAGATGTCAATTGTGCCTCGAGCCTTTACCAAAGTTCTGGCCCCTGTTCTGGCTCAACTTCAGTGTCAGGGTAATTCCCATAGTAGGCTACTTGGATGACCATCTCCTCAGAATAGTGGGTGCAAGCCTTATCATCCAACATTCATCAGATGATAACAATAAATCCTGCAGAGCCTTGGATGGGTCATGAATCTCCACAAGTTGTTGCTTGAGCACCCTCACTTGGAGTACCTGGGCCTTGTTTTGGACATGGTCTTCCTTCCCCTGGAAAAGATCTTATGTCTCTGCTCCCATGTTTACAACTTACAGTCCAGGAGTCATCTGACTGTTCGCGTTTTCATGAAGGCAGTCAGCCTGATGGTGGCCCTTTCAAGGCAGTGTCCTTTTTACAGTTTCAATTCAGGCTGCTGCCGTTCAGCATTCTGGCGACGTGAGACAAGCAGGTTCGGTCCTGGACCTCCACATCTGCTTGTCCAAAAGACCAGGTTGCCCTGGCTTAGTGGATTTACAACCCGCCACTGCAATCAGGGAAATCCTTTCCCCCTATAATCTAAAAGGTGGTCATGATGGATGCCAGCTTGTCAGGTTGGGGAGGAGTCCTGGGGAACCTCTTGCTTCAAGGAATCTGGTTGGAAGAGGAGTCTTGACTGCTGATCAACATCCTGTAGCTCGGGGCCTTTCAGTTTTCCCTTTAACGCTGGATCCCGCAGTTACAGGGCCAACTGACCAGGATTCAGTTAGACAGCACCAAACAATGGCTTATATCAACCTTCAGCGAGGCACCAGAAGTTGTGAAGCTCAGAGAGAAGCAGATCTGATTCTGACTTGGGGGAGAACATTACCTCCTAGCCCTGTTCACTGTTCAAATCCCAGGTGTGAAAATTGGCAAACAGACTTTCTCAGTTGTCAGCATCTGGATTCCGGAGAATGGTCCCTTAACCCAGATGTGTTTTTAGAACCTTTTGTCTCAGGTTGGGGATGGCAGATATGGACCTCCTGGCATCCAGGTTCAACTACAGACTGAATAAGTTTATTGCCAGGACTAGGAATCCCCGTGCTTTCCCATTGGGTGCCCTGGTGACTCCGTGAGTCAGTTCACCCCATCTACACCTTCCCTCCTCTGACACTCTTACCTCGCCTCTTTGGTACTGCCTGCTACAAAACTGAGGCAGCCTTGGAGTGGGAGAGTTTATATAGGGCTGTCCTAACAGCCCCATCGATTTCAGAATTAACTCCCTGTGTCCTGTGATGTACTCCAAGAAATGGATTTTACAGGTAAGGCAAAAATCCTGGTGTTTTTTGTTTTTTGTTTCTTTTTTTACAGGGATATCATAAATTATGTCAACTATATCACATCTTGGATATATGGTGATGTTTGTTTTTTTTATTTTTAACTGATTGCTCAATTTAAAGTTCTGTACTGAACGTTTTTGAACAATTGACTCTCTCCATACATGTTTTCTGTATAGAGAGAAACATGATGGCTGTCAGTGCTAACCTGTAATATGAATATGCTTGTTTCCTGTTTGGTCAGACTGATTGAATGGCTTCAGTAATGTTTATTCACTTATTAGGAACAAATATGCTGCTTGAGGTAGAAAAAACATGTTAGAAAATTTAGATATATTATCTTAACTGATCTGAATGTGATAAAATAAAATCTGGTTGCTAAGGGTTAATGCAGTTTATTCATCATATTGCAGTTTTTTCTGACATATTGGGTAAGCCTACTTGTGTGTTTCACTGTAGCAGAAAAGAAAAGTTCACCTTGAACGTTTTACATTTATCACTATGCTTGACTAAAAAGCAACATATGTGCAGATAAACCTTCAACAAATTAGTCATATTGCAAGCTTCTCAGCCATGTCTCCCAATCTTCACAAATGAGATCATAATACTGAAGATAAATTTACACTTGGATTAAATGCTGCCAGGGGAAATTTCACTTTGTATACCCTTTGGAGTTAGGATATATTATGTGCTACAAATATACATATAGGAAAACAGAGGGCAAAATATTGTAGTCCATGTATGCTGTTTTTGCTGCTAGAGAATAGGCTAGATAAGAAGTAGGAGATTTTAAAGTCCAACTGAACTTTCAGTTTAACTTTGTTAAAAACACTTTGGGTACATCCAACCAAAAGGTGTGTAAGCTACTGTTTATGAACCTTGTAAGGCCCCATTGTGACATCCATGTCCGTCCAGTTTTTTTCCTCTTGCAAAGGAGGAAATAACTGACATTACCGGACCCATGTTGGTCTATGGGGAGTCAGATTAAACAAACATGTGTCTGTTTACATCAGATTACCCCCAATCCACCGCGTTCAGGTGCACCAAACCAGAACCCTGGTCAGTTTGGTTTTCTAGAGCCTGGCTAGAATCGGGGGGTAATTAGATGTGAACGGGACTGCCTGCCAGGACCTGTTTACTGCCCTGCCTGCCTGCCTGCCTGCCCTGAAATAGTCCACATGTTGAAAAATATGTTTGCTGCCTTTGCTGACACTGGATAATACACTGAGATATGTTACATTTATTTTAATTGAGGGTGCCATTTGTATAAATGGTGAAACATTTTCAATGTTACAAAACAAGTCCAGTTGTATGTGACTAAAATACTGTCTTCTTGCATATACTGTAAATCTGCTGTATCCCAAAGTCTCTGGGTAAAGACATTCACAGTAGGAGCAGTGGTGAGGAGCAGAGGTCTTGATACCTGAAATAAGTCATCGCTTTACCCACTCCTGCTATCATACCTGTACACCCGCTATGGACCAGGGCAATGTTTGTTTACATTTATGGCATAGGTTTATTTGGCAAGTACTTAAGATAGCAAAGTTATCTATTTAGTTTTTTTCAGAGCAAACAAGCCTTTTTTTTATTCTGTAAGTTATCCTATTTAAAATGACAATAAAATTATGATTTTGGTATAATGCATGGCAAAGAAAAAA